TTTTTTTTTTTTTCATGCTCTCTAGAGTAATTTCAAAAATTGCACAATTTATAGTTAGATATTTTAATTTTATTAATTCATTTCTTCTAACTCATGATATTCATCGAACGATCTTTTCCCTTTATTACAGCGTGATTTTTCAAACAAAAATATCTAAAGAAAGTTAATGAAAAGAATTTCGAAGTGTTTAGTTACTTCGGTATGATTGTACATTGCGATGATTAATATACGCTGTCGCTCGAAAAGTATTCAGTCACTTTCATCAATTTGTAACTTATAATAATAGCACGGGATGTATGTTATTAGAATAATAATAAAAATGAATATTTTTCCATTTGTCAACCTTTCCACAGCTAGTATAGACTGTCGTTTGCTCATACATCATCATTTTCTATATTTCCATACGAATACGTACTACAAATTGCCATTTATTCATACCCAATTATTCTTTAGACATGTGTATTTATCTACGTTGTATGATACTCGGATCTTATGATTTTACCTCTTTGTTAAATATCAATTAATTGAGCCCTTTAGTTAACGAATGAATTAAGTCTCTTTTTATAATCCTTGTGAAAATTGGACCTTCGTGTCATGCTTTAATTCTGCTTAAAGCAGAATGTTGCTTTATTACAAGGGAAATAAAATGAAAGAGTAGTAATTATGATAACGTAACTTCAAAGAAAAACCACGTCCCTTTCAATAATAAACTATTTACGATGTAAACATTGGTCCTTATTTTTTATTAATATAAAATATAACAAGTTAAATTGAAGCTATTGGTAAATAAAGTAAATATAATTAATACTTACTATTTCTATAATATAGAACTTATAATTAATATAATATTATAGATTAATAATAATAATATAATATTAATATATTATTATATTAATATAATATTATAGATATATAATATTATAGAATTTATAATTAATACTTACTATTTCTATAATAAATATCTTAAGAAAATTTTTTCCTAATTTTGGACTTACGCCAATTTCTTTGTCAATTAACAAACTAAATCTAAGAACTGTGTCGGGAGTAAGTTTATCTTCATAAGATAAGTAAATAGCGTAATTCTTTAAAATATAAAATAAGAAGACATTTAAATCCATAGAATCGCGATTCCAAGCAAAAGAATTGAACGTTTTTTTTAGAATTTTACGTAATTTTTCCCGTTCACGTCGAAGGATGATTAGGATTACAAATTTGATTGCATTATATTATATATAATTAATCGAACAGATCTGCGAATTATTTTCTATGATAAATTATAATTGATGTGCATTGTGTAGCGTCGTCATCTAATGTCTTCCTGATTATTTACTGCGAAAGTTTCAACAGCATACGTCTGCGGGATTTTTTTTAGATAATGTGATTATATCTGTCAAGTTACACACCAGCTTGAAATATTACATATTCTCCTGGATTAAATCATTTGTATGATACTAGATAAAAGTGAAGTATAAATGTATTTACATGTGATGAAGATTTTGCCTTTAAATCAAATCTATGTGAATCTAACAGAACACTTGTTTTTCGATGGAAAATTCATATTTCATATGTTACAATCTAGCATAGGTAAATTAGATTTTGATATAAGATATCGGTGAATTCTACATGAGAAAATTAATCGAAAAGAAAGACTAAAGTTTTCTTTTTTTTCAATAAAACTTTCGTTTTCCGAAGTTTGAAGTCGAGCTTGAAAATTTGTCAAGTACATTTGAATTTGGTTCATTCAGAAATGAATAATCGACGGGAAGTGAAAAATGTAGAATAAAAACTTCCTGTTTGAAGCCTCGTTTCCAAGAGAATAAACTTCGAACTGATTTAATCAGGAATTAGCTTGCGTACTCGATAAATTTTGAAATTTGATTCCACGTAATTTTCGACTTACTTTTACAAGTAAAATAATTTTCTGTTTATCTCTTGGCTCCTGTTTAGTGCAATATTTAGCCAAATTTAAGTGTGTATATGACAAATTTTTAACCTCGATCTTTCTGGAAACAAAATTTTGAATGAACAAATTTTTTTTCTTTTCTTTTACGATTTACTTCTTTCACGTAGAATTAACTCCTATCTATTTGTATCGTCAGGATACAATTATAAAATAATTTACTATTATTTTAAATTTTCTGTCAAGCATTCTACGTAATATATTCAGTATGTAGTTTTTAATTCCTCTGCAACAGGAGTACAAAACAAAATCAAGTTATAAAGAGTATACGTGTGCACAAGAAGAACAGAAAACGTGCTATCTCTCGGAGTAACCTTTCCTCGATAAATGTCGTAATTAAACTATTCTCAACGATCGACAACGAACGATCTTGCCGACTTAATTGATCAGTAGTCAAAATGTCAGTGGTCCTTCGACTTTGCGAGTCAGTCTATTCGCAGCTGAATCGAAACGATTCGAAAAGAGCTGAAAAATTCACGTCTGTACGAGCGATAATCGTAATCGTGCTAGGTTCCAACTGACAGAGGTATTACTTGAATTATGAAATAATCGATTTCGCGGCAACTATGTCAGCTGGTAATATTACATAATTCGTCTCAGGTTTTAACGTGAATACGGTTGATCATTTGCTGGCGCAAACTGCAAGTAACAACGCAGAGAAGTGTGAAGAAAACCGATGACCTGCATTATTAGTCGAGGCTTTTCATTTGCGTGTATTAGGAAAGAAGTGTTGAGAAACGTTTTCAACAAAGTAATAAGAAATATTCATTTCACACTGTAATAACTGCTGACAGTATCTATTGCGTGTGTAACTTTGTCACTGTAGAAAAATCTGCGAAATCGCATTTTGTAAATTACTATTCTTGATAGGATTTCGTGGAAGTTACTCTTGGAAATAGCCGACAATGTTAACATGTTTACTTTTATTTAATTTAATACGGATAAAAATTTTTCGATTTCTAGTTTTCTGTTCTTTATGAAAAGTGTTTGTACAAAGTAATACATAATACAAAGAAATACATAAACTATCGAAACTATCTACAACATTTGGCATGTAAAACAATTTCCTATCATCGAGGTTCTACTTTTTTAATGTTACTTTCAAAAATATGAATTTGCATGAAAATCTGAAGTCTGGTTATGGAACAGAGAAATGATGAATTAACATAACAAGTAGGCTGCGGATTTCGTGCATTTGTGAAAAATTGCGAGTAGCATAAATGTATGTACCAAATGCGTATAATATATAAAAATACCTATGCATATAAAATATTCAAAATAAAGTATGTCATAACATATAGCAAGATAAGATAAATTTCTTTTAGGTTCTGTTTCTTTAGTGATGTTCACTAAAATGCATAAAACCCGCGTTAACGAGGCGATGCTCGACAAATCTATCAAGTAATCTATCAATTATTTAATCCTGTTTGCAGAGGGTAAAGTGGAGGTATCGCGTGATGGCAAATATTTGAGCACTCTGGCGCCGGGCAAGGTACTCGGCGAATTGGCAATTCTTTACAATTGCAAGAGGACCGCAACGATAACAGCAGCCACAGATTGCCAACTATGGGCCATCGATCGACAATGTTTCCAAACGATCATGATGAGGACCGGCCTTTCGCGGCAGGCCGAATATACAGACTTCTTAAAGAGGTGAGATCATTTCCATACAATAGTCATACAAGATTCATAAATGACAAGGGAACGTTTAACGAACGGTATGAATTTCCTTCCGTTTCAGTGTTCCTATCTTCAAGAATTTACCCGAGGAGACTTTAATAAAAATTTCTGATGTGCTAGAAGAGGTAAAATCCTTCGATACCCTGACGACTAAACTGCGGATTTTTATGCATATTAGGTTATTATAAATGATGTGATAGAGTTCGTAATTCAATGCACAATCTTGTGTAATAACATTAATTAAATTCCATACATGTTGTCTGTTTAAAAAAACAATTTTGTATTAATTATAATCGAAATTTTTAATTCATTGTAATCTGTTGTTCGTGTTTGTATTTTCTAATATAAATCTTTAACATTAGTGGCGGGCTGTCTGTTCTTTTAATGTAATTTTACACGCACCTGTGTTATAAGTTTTAAGTTTCACATTTTTTAGAAATTTTAAGTTTTATAAAGAACTCATTATGGTGATCGTTCATAGTTCGTTTCGATTCTTGACACATGACATAACTTTAACAATTGACAAAAACATGAATTCGACAAACTTCAAGGTTTAAATCGATGTCTAATAAATGTTATTTAACAGCACTTTTTTAATCACGAAATTCTTAATAATTTTACATACTTGTGGAGTCTACAATTAAAAAAATAGAATTTCGGTAAAAAATTGTTCTACATATCAAATATTTTACCACATTATCTTCATTTCTTACCATGTTATCCCTTAATTTTTTAATTTCTTATATATGCATAAAAATGCTCAGTTTGTCAGTAATATTACTATTGATATGCTATTTAGACAGTTTTATACGTACTAAATATCGTGCACGTATTTTGACAGACTTTTTACAACAATGGGGATTATATAATCAGACAAGGAGCAAGAGGAGACACATTTTTCATAATAAGCAGAGGACAAGTTCGGGTGACGATAAAGCAGCCCGACACCCCCGAGGAAAAATACATTAGGACATTGAGCAAGGGCGATTTCTTCGGTGAAAAAGCACTTCAGGGGTAATATATTCGAAGTTTTCAGATTATCAAAAATAATTTAATAAAGAGAATGGATAGAAAGAAATTAAAATTGTGTCCAGGAGCGGAATCGATTGACTCCACCTCCAAAAAATTTCTTAATTAATTTAACTATATATAGTGATACAAATTGGTATAGTATGACATATTGGATGAAGCATGTTAGAAGCTTCGTTAGACTGTCATAAAAACATTACTTTTATCATAATTTTTACAAAGGAAGAAAGAATGATTACAATGAATTACAATAATTCACTATCAGAGAACTATCAGAGAAATCATAGTGCAAGGAATAGAAAAAAGTTCCTAATACAATAGAGGGCATAAGTTTTTGTGTATGTATTTAAAAAATCTCAGAAAATGTGATAAACGTGTAAAATTTCTATGAAAATTCATTCGTTCGCTGTATTTAATATCTATTTCTAATCTAGTATTGATTAGTACTATTGCTATTGATTAGTATTGATTAGTTCTATTGCTTATCAAATACGAGGCATTAGTATAAAATTTACGCTCAGTATATTAAGACTATATTTGTTTCAAAACCAAACAAATAAAATAATATTTTTTATAATAAAGAATTTGTAAAGTATTAATATAGAATACACATACAATTAAAAAATTGTATTACTTTTGTTTCAATTTTATTATAGATAAATACTGAAAATGGAAGACAAAAAAAAAATATCTTAAGATTATTAAGTGAGAAATTCGTAATTTTGTATATCCTAATGTGGTGTACCATCTTCCAAATATTAATGTACATGAAACGTTTTCACAGAGATGACCTGAGGACGGCCAATATAATCGCTGACGATCCGGAAGGAGTGAGTTGCCTGGTGATAGACCGTGAAACGTTCAATCAACTAATCTCGTCCCTGGACGAAATTCGTACGCGGTACAAAGACGAGCTCGTTGAACGTAGAAGGTGAGCTTCGACCGATTTCAATTTATAGCTCTTTAATCCGATTGCACGCGGTCAACTCTCATCAACGCTAATTACACACGACCATAATCACGATCGTGAATCGTCTGTCAAATGCCTATTTTATATTATGTGTATGTTATGTTTCACGCTTACCACCTAGGATGGGAGAATAGAGCGTACTATCTCAGAGTAAGTTTCGCGTTACGGTACAGTCGTGTGTTAATGATTCAATAATTAAGCTAACGTTTCGTTGTCTTCTTTAAAAAGAAAAGTAGTATAATTTACATTAATACCGCATCCTTTGCAAGAGATTCCTATACATGTAAAATAACAAACAAACTAGTTGTCCATAAATTTTATCAGTGCGGTATTAGTGTAACTTACAAAGATAGTAGATATCACATAATTATGGGTCTTTAAAAATATTCATCAGAAAGTATCAGTGTTAGATTATTTCAGAAAAATTTTCACACATTCCTTTTTTATTCTTTAGCAATTACTTTGAAGGTAAAAGTAGGTACACTTGAGAGAAGTTAATATTAAAAATGGTATTGAGTTACAGATGACTATATTAACTTACAGTAGATTACTGAAATTTTGTACTTTGTATTTATATTAGCCATAGAATTGAATTAAATTGAAAATCCCAAAAATTGAATAATTTGATCCAAATGTTGATTGACCCAGCATCCAATGATAATTATTAAGAATTAATAATTACAAATATAAAACGTGCAAGCTCATCATTGGAATAATATTTCTATACAGGCTAAACGAAGAATTCAAAGACCTAAGGCTGCAAGATCTTCGACCATTGGCTACGCTGGGTGTAGGCGGTTTCGGAAGAGTCGAATTAGTCCAAATAGTCGGCGACAGCACGAGATCGTTCGCTTTGAAACAGATGAAAAAAGCGCAGATTGTTGAAACACGACAGCAACAACATATCATGTCAGAGAAGAGAATTATGGGCGAAGCTGATTGCGATTTCGTCGTGAAGCTATTCAAAACGTTCAAGGATAGGAAGTATCTTTATATGTTAATGGAAGCCTGCCTTGGTGGCGAACTTTGGACTGTTCTAAGGGACAAAGGTCATTTCGACGACGGCACGACACGATTTTACACCGCTTGCGTCGTCGAAGCATTCGATTATCTTCACTCTAGGAATATTATATACAGAGATCTCAAACCAGAAAATCTTTTACTTGATAGTCAAGGGTAAGATTTTGACGTAGGTTTAATATATAGAAGAAAATTTTTTAATTTATCAAATGGAACATTTAAGTCTACGAGTTAAAATATTTTCGAAACTGTTAATTATATCAAAAAATGTTTCAAAAGTGGACTTGTTTTATTTCTAGAGGAAAGTAACTTAACCTTTTGAGTGTTTAATTTGGGCTAGTATATTTTATAAATAATCTTAATAAACCAATAAAAGCAATAAAACCAATAAACCAATAAAAACAATTGATTTACTTATTACAAATTCAAATGGGATAACATATTACTCTCAAAATGTATATCTTTAAAGATAAATACATTCTTAATTTGTTATATGCTTCTCATTCGATATTGAATTTTTGCATAATTTTAAGCACTCGAAAGATTAATGTAATTAGTTAGTTCAGAGGTGAATGCGTGGAAGATATACATATGAAAGTCAATTTTATTTTTTTAAATAAGCCCATATATCTTTTAATACATTAACTGATCTATCTTTATAAGATTTTTTTATAAAAAAAATATTAAGCTATTTATATCACAAAATTATTCTTTTAGTTATTTTAATTTTAATTTTAATTTTAATTAATTTTCAATTTTATAATTATTTCAATTTCCATTTTGTAAAACTTATCATGTTTCAGATCTTTCCTTCTGTAGGATTTTTTGACATGCATACTTTCTTGCTTTGACATACTTTCTCATTTCGTATGACCTTTACGCATTCACTTATAAAAATGCTAATTATATTAGATAATTCCCCTCAAAACCATTTAATTTTTGTTTGAAACATTTTTGAAACAAATTGTTTCCGATAACATTTCAGCTTCTATCCTTAGCTGAGGTAACTCAACTTGTATACATGTAAGTGCTACATATAGAAAACATTTTTAAACGTTAATAATATTTTTACAGATACGTAAAACTCGTTGACTTTGGTTTTGCCAAGCGTTTGGATCACGGGAGGAAAACATGGACTTTCTGTGGTACACCCGAGTACGTTGCACCGGAAGTTATTTTAAATAAGGGACATGACATCAGTGCTGATTATTGGTCTCTTGGTGTTCTCATGTTTGAACTTCTCACGGGAACACCACCATTCACTGGGGGCGATCCAATGAAAACTTACAACATTATTCTAAAAGGAATCGACGCTATAGAATTTCCTAGATCAATCACACGAAATGCAACTGCGTTAATTAAAAAGCTATGCAGGTAAACCTTACTTTACATACAACAATTTATATTCTCGTTATTAGCTATTAGTAGACTATAGATTTTTATATAAATTTATATCTTTGAAAATATGATTTTAAAAAAATAGATACTCAGTAGAAAACTGTTTCACGTACTAAATGTTATAAGAAACACTATAGGATATTTGACATATTCATAGAAAATTTAAGGATAGAACAATGCAGAAAACGCAAGAAATATGCAAAAATTATATAAAATATCGAAATATTTAGTATCTAATAATCGAAAAATACTCTATTTTTTTAATTATATTCATAAAAATAAATTACATAAAAATCTGCAGTCTAGTAATTAATTATCCAATAGAGTTTGAAAACAATTACTCATGTATTTTAAGGGACAATCCTGCGGAACGTCTTGGTTATCAAAAGGGTGGCATTAGTGAAATACAAAAACACAAGTAAGTGTGCCAAAATTTACATTAATTGTGACGCAAAGAATGAGGGAAATTACTTATTAATTATTCTATCTTTTTATTTAGATGGTTCGATGGTTTTAATTGGGAAGGTTTAAGAGCGAGAACTCTCGAACCTCCAATCATGCCCAGAGTTCAAAATGCCACCGATACAACGAACTTCGACGAGTATCCTCCGGATTCAGATCCACCACCTCCTGATGATTTATCCGGCTGGGATAATGATTTTTAATTAATTTTTAATTTATTCGTTCAAATAAATTATCGCTTCAATGAAAGAAAAATGTTAAAAAACATCTTCGAAAGAATTGCAAGATAATTCAAAAGATCGGTGGAGAACTATCAGCATTTGCACTTATTCAACGAGCCAATACTATACAACGCTTAGATGTTTGTTAAAATAACATTGATCATCGAATAACACACTGCAAAGAAAGACAAAATTGGCCTGCGATAAAAGAATTAGGTCGTTGAAAGCTCTTCGAATAGGCTGTTGAAATAATCAATAGATTTGAACGATTCGTTAATAATAGACAGAGATCATTTCCTTTTACCGTATTATCTGAAGTGGTGTATGAATTTTTTTCAAAACGTCGTCAAAAAGATTATTGACGTAAATTAAGCATGCGTTCAATTTAGAAAAATCTTTATGCACACAAGCTCGCGTTCGATAAATACTACAGGACTTGAACGTGGCATCGTGAGACGCGCCACGAATACATCAAGTGCCATACCTAACAAAGGTAAAATATCGAGTATGATACGTGTGTACAGAGCATTCATGTGAACACTATGCACTATGCTCAGTCAGCTAAAATTATAAGAAACATCTTGCCATCAAAGTTATGAAACACACGATTTCTCAGTATGAACCATGTTGGATGCTTGTAACGTCCGATTCATTGTTGTTTGATTTACTTTATAGTTTATTGTAATAATTCTATCCTAATTAATTACGTAAAAACGTGACTCCTGTAAATAATTGACTATAAATAAATAAATATATGAAAATATATATACTTAAAAATCAAATGTATATCTATTATAAATAAAGTTTTATTAAAGCTAGCGCATAGTTGATTATTGTTTATACGTACATTTAGATAAAAAAAAGAAATAAATAAAATATTAAAGTAAAATATCAAAAAGTCCTTTAACAGACCTTCTATTTTATTCATTTCAATAATATTTCTAAACTTGAATCGCACAAAATTTCCTGCTTTTAACACATTCACGATTGGAAAATGTTTAAATTAATTAAACAGTAAAATAAACTAAATGTCATGAAAGAAGTGTATTGAAGTTTAATGAAAGAAATTTGAAGAAATTATACTCACATCCGACATTCGTACCCACCGACGATCACACATTATCACAAATGAGATATATATCTCGTTTGTGACATTATTAACCGTTTGAATCCAGCGCAACGCTCGCGCTCTTCAGATTTCGTGTCGAGAAGACCAACTATATTTGAGCGCGATGTGTAACTGTCGATTCATTTAGATTCCATCGAAGTCAGCACGCCCAACTTTGCTGATACTTGTTTGTCAAATCGTTACTTTTTTTCACACAAACATGTAAGTAATACATATCGTTGTTAATCACTATTATTTTCAATTATTTTTATTCAATAAAAACTAAAAATATTTATAAATTAATGGTACTAATATACAGCGTCGGAACAAAAACAAAAAGAATAAGTCGAGAAAATTGAATTTGAAGATTTAAGGAACACACATGTACAAGACAACTTTCAATGAAATGTATTCAAAGTCTATTTTCTTGTAAATGAAACTAAATGAAAAAAATTTACATTTTTAACCCATTTTTTTTTTTTCATGTAGAATAAATTCTTGTTAATTATTCCTTCCATCTCCAGAATTAGCTAAATTCAAGTGTGCTTGATAAATTTTAAAAGTCGATTTTCTCAAAAACGAAGACTCAAATCAAAAAATTTTATTCTATATTT